AGCTGGGGACTAAAAAAAAGGATAGGCTACGGGTGCCTGGGAGAGCGTTTGGGGAGCAGGCAAAGAAGAGCAATTGGGGTGATCATAGATCTTGAGAGCAAAGAAGTCTCGCTGCCTCTGAGTACAAGCTCATTCCAACTTACCCAGCCCTCCAGAACTAACCCAAAAGAGATTAGAAAAGCAAAGCTCCACTCCTTGTTTTGGGGAGACCAGATAGCTGAGCTAAAACTCTGCACAGGGCATATATAGCAAGTTCACTATCTTTGAGACAGTAAAACGCCTCGTAATTTTCAGTCCTTTTCAGGTGACCAACAACTTTCAGTTTATTTAGTTTTTTTTTTTTTAAGCAAGGTGGGATATGAATTGACAAATAACCAAGAGCATTTCTATATCTCATATGAAATAAATAATACCAAAAAAGTTGCCATTTGTTGAGTGCCAGATACTGGGTAAAGAAAAAATTATTTAGATGTGTTAACTGTTTTAATACTACTTCCACCTAGGAGGGAAGGGTTTATGTCCTTTTTAAAAACTTCTTTTTAAGTCTTACTACATAAGCTGATAAATCCTCTACAGATTAAGAAATTGATACCCGAAAACGTTAAATAACTTGTGTTAAACCACATAGTAAGTGCTGAAGCTGATCTGGGGGACCAGGACTGTTTGTGCTCTGCACGGCTGCACCGCATGAGGCAAAATGGCTCTTGATGGTTTTCTTTCGAAGACCTAGAAAATGCTGTCACAGCTGGTGCCCCCATCTCAGAGCCCCAGCCATGATGTCTCCACTTCCTGCTTCATCTCGGGTTTCTCACGTCTTGAATGTGCACACAAATCATCTGGTGATCTTGTTAAAAATGCAGCTTCTGCTTCAAAAGACCCGGACTGGGGACCGAGATTCCACATATCTAGTAAGCTCTCAAGTTTATTAATCTGCTACTGATCCTAGGAACACATTGAGTATCAAGGGGCAGGATGTAACTCCTGTAGGGAGTGACCAGGCATTTTCTATCAATTTCTTAATCTGTAAAGTGGAAGACTTATCAGTTTATATAGTAAAAATTAAAAAGAATTTTAAAAAGAGGATATAATGCCTTCCTTCCTAGATGGAAACAGAATTAAACCATTTTAGTGTTGTAAAGCCTGCTTTTCCTTAAAAAAAAAAAAAGGAAGGAGAGGGCCAGGTGCAGTGGCTTACACCTGTAATCCCAGCATTTTGGGAGACCAAAGTGGGAAGATCACTTGAGCTCAGGAGTTCAAGACCAGCCTGAGCAACATAGTGAAACCCCATCTCTACAAAAAAAATTAAATATTAGCCAGGCATGACGGCATACACCTATAGTCCCAGCTACTTGGGAAGCTGAGGTGGGAGGACCACTTGAGCCCAGGAGGTCAAGGCTGCAGTGAGCCATGATCAAGCCACTGCACTCCAGCCTGGAGTGTCTTAAAAAAATTTATTAATTCAAATAAATTAAAAGAGAGACTATCAAAGACCCAATCACCCCAGACATCTGGCATCATAGGAACGTACCCAGTCTGCTTTGAGGATACGACAGTGGGGATCCTGGCTCCTCCAGTGTAGAGGCTTCAGTGAAAGAAAAGCCTAGGTGTGGCAGGTGCGGTGGCTCAAGCCTGTAATCCCAGCACTTTGGGAGGCCGAGGTGGGTGGATCACGAGGTCAAGAGATCAAGACCATCCTGGTCAACATGGTGAAACCCTGTCTCTACTCAAAATACAAAAAATTAGCTGGGCATGCTAGTGCATGCCTGTAATCCCAGCAACTCAGGATGCTGAGGCAGGAGAATTGCCTGAATCCAGGAGGCGGAGGTTGCGGTGAGCCGAGATCACGCCATTGCACTCCAGCCTGGGTAACAAGAGCGAAACTCCGTCTCAAAAAAAAAAAAAAAAAGAAAGGCCTAGGTGTGCAGAAAGCTTTCAGGCAATGCCAGGGAAACTGATCATTGTAATGAATCCAAAGTATTGCTGAGGGAGGGCATTCTGGAGGGCCTGGTGGAAATGTGATTAGGCTCTTCAATGCACAGGCCCTAGTTGATGAGTAATCAGGGTTTCAAATATTTCCATCTATCCCAAACAGAAAACAAATGGAAAAACTGAACCACCAGAAAAGCAGAGCCAGAAATGGAACAAGAATTCCAGTGTTTGTACCCAACCAAGAGCATGTTTTTCTTCCATGGAGACCAATATTCAAAATGGAGGCTCAGGGGCAAAATCCTTTCGCTATGTTCTCCAGTCAGCCAAAAAACAGTTCCAACTTTTTCTGACTTCTGCTTGTCAAATATCGTGGGCTCATAGTTAATGCTAGATGCTTCCTTCCTCTATTTCCTTCCAAATTTCCCAGGAACCCCCGGTCAATACCTGCAGTAAGTTCCACTGATCTAGGGTATAGAAATGGCTGTGACCCAGCAGTGACTGGGAAGGACATCAGATGTCATCAGTGGTCATATTGCAACACAGCCCTTTTTCTGTTTAGAAATGCAGGTACCCACAACATCTACTAACACTTTTTTTTCTTATTTATTTTCTAGTTGGCATCTGGGGGCAGGACGGTGAGATATGCTTTCTTTCTTTTTTATGAAATCAGCCCATCATTCTTTGTAGTTATGAGTGGAGCTTTCTCTTAGGCCTCCCACAGAACGTCCACAGAGACCAGGAAAAGGGATTTCTCCCATCTATTCCTTTGACTTTCCTCACAAGTCTGGAGATATTTCTAGCCCAGAAGAGGGAAGCAACAGAGAGAGGAAATGATGAGTATTCACTATGCAAAAAAAAAAAAAAAAAATCAGACTTAAATGAAGTCGAAAGCACTAACAGTTTTCATCTGTTTGCATTTATATTTGATGTGACATTCTGCAGAGGAGATGTAGCCAGAATGCTTGAACAGAGTTACTCTGGAGAAGCTTCTGGGGCAACATTTGATGTGTGTTCAGAATCACATGTCTGAATACTCTGAATACATGTGTGTACATGTGTGTTCATGCGCGTGCACAGGCATATGAGCCTGCCCAGCCTGAATTTACTCTCTTAATCACAACAGTAGAGTCAGGAGTGGTCCAACATTGGAAGCCTCTCTATTCAATCAGCTCCTCCAAACTGAGTGAACCAATGTTGTATTTAATGGCAATCACAACTGGACACCGTGGCTCACACCTGTAATCCCAGCACTTTGGGTGGTCGAGGTGGACAGATCACTTGAAGCCAGGAGTTCAAGACCAGCCTGGCCAACATGGCAAAACCCAGTCTCTACCAAAAATACCAAAATTAACTGGGCGTGGTTGTGCACACCTCTAGTCCTAGCTACTCGAGAGGCTGAGGCAGGAGAATCACTTGAACCTGGGAGGCAGAGGTTGCAAGTGAGCCAAGATCGCACCACTCTAGCCTGGGTGACAGAGAAAGACTGTCTCAAAAATTAAAATAAAGGCAACCACTATGCCCACATTCCGCCGTGCTGCCTAATTTGTAGTGTCCTTAAGAGCCATTTTGGAAATAGTCGTCAGATAAGATTTAAGGCCCAAAACAGCTTTTTTACACAGTGGAGGGAATTTGAAGAAGTTTCCTAAGGGTTGAGGGAAGAGTCCCAACCCACGGGAGCAGGATCTGGTCTTTGTTGCCAATAGAAACATTACTAATTGATTCTTACTGTTTCCTTTTCAGGTAATGAAGAAATGGGTAAGAGGATTTTCACTCTATCTGACCTCTTTTCAGATGTGGAACAAAATGGTCATAGAGTACAATCACAATAACAAACACTAAGAACTAAAACTAGTAAAGGGAAAACACAAGTATCTTTCGATGGGATCTGGGTGAAACGTGCCTGTATTTGTTGCTAGCTGTCATGTCAGATTATAGCTGTGCATGTATGTATCTCTGATTACACACATATGGGTGCAGGTTGGAGCTACCATTTGTTTTTGTGTAAGTCATGAAGTCTTTGAAGGCAGACAGAGACAGTGTCTCATTTATCCAGCCCAGTGCCTGGCACATAGTAGGTGCTCAATGAATATTTTCTGAAAGAATAAATGAACAAATGTATGAACACATTGCTAATTACCTCCCCTTAAGAAGCTGATGGCCTGTGTGAGAGACAAATAATTAAAAATATAACAAGTTGCATGTTATAATATGGGTAGATACAGAGTAAAATGAAGTATAAAGAGGGGAGTGGTCAACTCTACAAAGTGTTGTTGAGAAAGTCTCCCTGGGGGAGATAATCCTTGTGCTGAATTTTTAAGGATATGCTCGTGTTTTAGGGAAAAATATATTTTATGCAGAAAAGATAAAGTTGTATAGTATGAGGGCTAAAAGTCTAACTGAGCTAGACCAGAATGTTTGAATCTTGGCTAAACCCCCTGCTTGCTGGGTGTGTTTGAGTGATTTACCTAACTTTTCTATGCCATAGCATCATCATGGTACAATGGAAATAATAGTACTAACTAGCTTATAGGGTTATTATGAGGACCCAGTGAATAATTTATTTAAGGCACTTAGAACATTATCTGACAAAAAAGGCAGTAGATGGGCTGGGCATGGTGGCTTACGCCTGTAATCTCAGAACTTTTGGGAGGAGTTCAAGACCAGCCTAGTCAACACGGTGAAACTCTGTCTCTACTAAAAATACAAAAATTAGCCAGCTGTGGTGGCAGGTGCCTGTAATCTCAGCTACTCAGGAGGCTGAGACAGGAGAATTGCTTGAACCTGGGAGGTGGAGGTTGCAGTGAGCCAAGATTGCACCATTGTACTCCAGCCTGGGTGACAGAGCAAGACTCTGTCTTAAAAAAAAACAGTCAGCAGGTAAATTTTAGCTATTAATACATGGAAAGCATGGTGATCATACGTGATAAGCATTGAAGTTTACTGAGCTTGTATCTTTTAGGCATCGCTATAAATATTCTATTTGAATTTTCTCTTTAATTCTTCTAACATCCCTATTGTACAGATAAGGAAACAAAGGCTCAAATAAATACAAAAATTAACAAAAATAAATAAACAGCCCAGTCCTAGAGATATGAATGCAGATTTAGGCCAGGTGCAGTGGCTCATGCCTATAATCCCAAAACTTTGGGAGGCCAAGGTGGGAGGCTCACTTGAGCTCAGAAAGTTGAGGCTGCATTGAGCCAAAATTGTGCCACTGCACTCCAGCCTCTGTGACAGAGAAAAACCCTGTCTCTAAAAAAATTAATAGAAATTTTAAAATAAAAAAATTAAATTTATATGGCACTGAAGTTCATTTTCTTAACCATTATGAAATACCGTCTCTGGATGTGTATAAAATCTTTGTGAGCACACATATCTTTTTTAAATTTAACTTTCGTTTTAAATTCAGGGGCACATGTAAAGGTATGTTACATAGGTAAACTGGGGTCATGGGGTTTGTTTTACAGATTATTTCATCAACCTGGTATTAAGCCTAGCACCCGTTAGTTCAGAGGTCCCAGTGTGTGTCGTTTCCCTCCAGGTGTCCATATGTTCTCATCATTTAGCTCCCACTTCTTTTTTTTTTTTAGACAGAGTTTTGCTCTTGTTACCCAGGCTGGAGTGCAATGGTGCAATCTCGGCTCACTGCAACCTCCGCCTCCTGGGTTCAGGCAATTCTCTTGCCTCAGCCTCCTTAGTAGCTGGGATTACAGGCACATGCCACCATGCCCAGCTAATTTTTTGTATTTTTAGTAGAAACAGGGTTTCGCCATGTTGACCGGGATGGTCTCAATCTGTTGACCTCGTGATCCACCTGCCTCGGCCTCCCAATGTGCTGGGATTACAGGCTTGAGCCACCGTGCCTGGCTAACTCCCACTTCTAAGTGAGAACATGTGGTATATGGTTTTCCATCACTGTGTTAGTTTGCTAAAGAGAATGGCCTCCAGCCCCATCAGTGTTCCTGCAAAACACATTCTCTTTTTTATGGCTGCATAGTATTCCATGGCATGTATGCAGCACATTTTATATACAGTCTACCACTGATGGGCATTTAGGTTGATTCAGTGTCTTTGCTCTTGTGAATAGTGCTGCAGTGAACACACGCGGAGCACATTTCTGTGTAAGCACAGACATCTAGACCCTTGTATGCACATGAGCTAAGTCTAAGCTCCACTACTAAATTTGTGCCAATAAAAGTTGGGAGCAATTTCTTGACTTTTTTCAAACAAATGCACCCAGCAGAGTATGAAGTCTATGTACTTTATTTATGATTTCTAGTTTATTTAACATGTCTAAGAAACATCAGTGTTGAAAAATTATTTACAAGTTAAAATAATATACCCTATCTATTGTCTTTATACTCAACTCCCAATTTGAAGCAGGTGGAAAGATGCAGAGAATGATTTGTTTACATTCTGCACAGTCTTGGTCAGAAGGCTGCCTGAGCAACTGAGTCAGAGTTCAGTTCCGTTCTGGGGGTAGCAGATATAACTTTTCCTTGAGCACCTGCTATGTTTCATCCACTTTCACCTTCATAATCCATTTAATTTTCACAAAAACCTTGTGAGGTTGGAGTTTTGTCTCCATTTCCCTGATAAAGACATCGAGGTTCAGCAAAGTTAAATGACTTGCCCTCGGTCACACAGACTAGGGCAGACCAGGATTCAAACACAGGACTCTGACTCTTGCGTCCAGAGCTCTGTCTCTGACAGCAGCACCGCCACCTCTCTCCTCTTTTCCACTGTCAGGTCCAGGCTCTAGCAAAACCCAGTGTTCCAGCCACAGCTTTTCCAGGAAATAAAAAAGGACCCCTAGGGCCACTTCCCAGGCAAACATGGCGGCTGTGGGAAACATGGCTGGACCTGCAAATGGCATTAGTGGATTACTAGTTGATTTCAGTTGTCCACACTAATGGACTTCCCTCTAACAAAAATAATTGAGGGCTGATTATGCTCAGAGATCATGTAAAGTGAAGCCACTTTTTATTGGAAGAACCATTCCCTCAAAATGTGTTGAGTATTTCACATTATTTAAAGGCAAACACAGAGAAAATTATATGGAATAAGAAGAAAGATGTTTGTTCTCTATTATGAGGGACTCAGTTGTAAGAAAGAATTTCTGAATTGTGAGAAATAGGTAGGTCCGCAAATCAGTGACTCAATGGTATAGAGATCTTTATTTATAAGAAGGCCCTTTCAAATCTATCTGTAATACAGTCCTGGGTAACATGAGACGATAAGCTTGAAACCTGGAATTTTTTGGCTTTAGAACATTAAGGCTTTCTGAGCTTCGGTAGATCTGGATCTAGGAGCACATGCTGGTATATTCTGAATCTGATGTATCTGAGTTACATCTGTGAGCTATTTAATAAATATATCTATGAGCTAAATCTCATAGGCTAAGCATAAACCTCACCTCCAAGACTTGGGGCTCCTAAATGGATGAGACGCTCTTTGGGAAGTCTCGTGGGCAGTGTCTAATTCCACTAGAAAAAATTTACCTACAATTTAAACTTAAACCAAGATATTTTCTTACCACCTTTCCCTTTCTCATTTCAGGTGATACTACACAGAACCGTGAGTTTCTTAGTTCTTTCTTTATGCCCTGTCTGAGGATACAGACTGGGGGGTACATGAGAAGGAACTGACTGAGACAGATTGACCCCAAGAACTGAGATCGGCCCAGCATTTGCATTCTCAATCCCATTTTTGAAAGGTTCTAAATAGGGACTTTTACGGGTTTTCCTTTACATCAGGCTTCCCCTTCCCAAGTCCCCATGTCCCTGCGTAAACCCTAAAGCCACCTCTCAAAAGGTTCTCTAGTTCCCTTCATTCCACATATCTCCTCTTCCACACCCTCCAGCCAGGAGAGCCCCCTTCTGACAAGCAAATCTAAGACCTGGATGACAGATGACTTCCTGCATTTGGTTGGTTCTTTTGTCACTAAATTGCCTTTTCTAAAATTGTCTCGGTTTCTTCCACCAATGTCCCTTCTTTCTCCCCAGCATATAAAGTTTCCATCTCAGGAACCACAGTAACACTGACATGCCCTCGGTATGATGGACATGAAATAAAATGGCTCGTAAATAGTCAAAACAAAGAAGGTCATGAGGACCACCTGTTACTGGAGGACTTTTCGGAAATGGAGCAAAGTGGTTATTATGCCTGCCTCTCCAAAGAGACTCCCGCAGAAGAGGCGAGCCATTATCTCTACCTGAAGGCAAGAGGTAATCTGGGTCTGCAGAGCAGGCACCGCCGGGCTCTTTAGGGAGGAGCATTCAAAAGGGCATTCTCAGCCGGGCGTAGTGGCTCACACCTACAATCCCAGCACTTTGGGAGGCCAAGGAAAGTGGATTGCCTGAGGTCAGGAGTTTGAGACCAGCCTCACCAACATAGTGAAACCCCATCTCTACTAAAAATACAAAAAATTAACTGGCATGGTGGTGGCACCTGTAATCCCAGCTACTCGGGTGCCTGAGGCAGGAGAATCGCTTGAACCCGGGGGGCAGAGGTTGCAGTGAGCCGAGATCGCACCTGGGTAACAAGAGTGAAACTTCGTCTCAAAAAGTGGGGGCATTCTCAATGATTTCCCCTAACGCAGCTCACAGTGTCCTGGCGTCTTTTCACTTCCTCCTACACTCAATCCCAGGACTCTCTGGTACCATGCACCATCAGTGTCTTCTGGAATATAGATTAAACACCAACATGAGGCTTCTGGGTAACCCCAGAACTCCCCAAGAGTCAGGACTGGGTCATCTGCACTGCACCCAGGTTCATGGCACACCAACATTAGCTTATCTCATGCTTTCTCCAGAGAGAAATTTTTCAGAAAGGTTTGCAAAAAAGACTCAAAGCCACTATAACAAAATGGCATAAGCTAAGGTATAATAATGAAATAATAACAATAGCTAACAGGTATTGAGTGCTCATTAACTCTCAAGCATGTACCCAACATTTATCAGGGATTTCTTTCATGTTACCGTCTCAACAACCGTATGGGTTAAGTACCATTTTATTCCCATGAGTAATGGGATGAGGAAACAGAGGCTTTGTGAGTTGAAAACACACACACTTCTCACAGCTAGTGAATAATAAAGCTGGGACTGAAACCCAGGGCTGTTTGACTCCAGTGCCTCTACCCACAGCCACCACTCTTTGCTTGTTGATGTTATTCTGAACATATTGAAGGCAGGGCTCTGGCCGTGGCAAGTGTGTGAGTAGTAAGGGGAGAATGGCCTTCATGTGCTCGCTCCTCACCTCCAGGGCCTTGTGTTTTCCTGCTTGTTAATTTCCTCTCTTCCCCGCCCCATCCCCAACAGTGTGTGAGAACTGCGTGGAGGTGGATGTGATGGCGGTGGCCACAATTGTCATAGTGGACATCTGCATCACTCTGGGCTTGCTGCTGCTGGTTTACTACTGGAGCAAGAATAGAAAGGCCAAGGCCAAGCCCGTGACACGAGGAGTGGGTGCTGGTGGCAGGCAAAGGGGTAAGGCTGTGGAGTCCGATCAAAAGAGATTCCTGCCAAAAGGGATATGTGGCCTGGGCCAGGGTGGGTGGCAAGTCCACAGCTAGGTCAGAACAGCTTCTCTAGAGCTTCTGTGCACGTTTTCTATTACTGTGATGCCAAGATCTCAACAGAGGGTTCCGAATCTCACATCACTCCCCTCCTTCCCACCCTAGAAAAGTGCATAAAAGTTTATGAATGTCATGGGCTTCCTCACATGCTTGTCAATGCCTGCAGTAATCCGATTCTGTTCCTCGGCTCTGGGAAGAGAGACTCTGAGATATTAGTTCCTGCCTTTTCCTTTCCCCTCCCCCATGGAAAGAAACAATGGGAGGACCTTGAGCTGAGGAAAGTCACAAACTGATGAGAAGAGTACAGGGTCCTTAGAGATGAATGAAAGGAAAAAAGAGAAAGAGAGGCTGACCAGAAAAGGGAATGACAGAGAAGAGAACAGCGGGGTTTGCCATCCTCTATCTGGGGCTCACTGGCACAGACAGTGCTGCCAGATTGGTTCCCTGATGGGAATGAAACGTTTCCCCTCCTTCCTTCGCAGGACAAAACAAGGAGAGGCCACCACCTGTTCCCAACCCAGACTATGAGGTAATGGGGGATAGAAATGTGCCAGGAGGCTGGAGGGGAGGCCCCTTTAGGGGAGAGGGAACAGATGGAATGGCCCATCTTGTCTGCCAGATGCCTCAAAGCCCCTCACTCAGGGCTCCCAAAATGACCCTCCCTGTGCCACCTCTGCCTCCTTCATGATAGAACAGGACTGTCTCAAAGGCTGCATGGCTCCCACAACCCTGGAGAGATGGAAGCTTGCAGGAGACATACTTCTCTTCCTCTGGCTTAGTCATTGCCTGGGATACAGCCATGGAGAATATCATATATGCAAATCCTAGCACAATACATTCAGGGCCGATATTCCACCAGCATGTACCAGTATAGCCATACTATTTATTGAAATATTAAAATGCTTCGTTGGAAAATAGCCCCAAACTTTACTCACTCCAACCCACCCTTATGCACGTGCACGCACACACGTGGCCAGACATCACAGCCCCTCCCCCACCGGGCTGCCTTTTGAGTTGGGGTAACTAAAGAGTTAATGCCTGGCATTGCACACACACCAATCACCAGGATTGTTCTAGTTGGTTGGTGTGTGTGCACTACTATTTGTTAAAGATTTTCACTGTCACACCTGGATATACCCAACAAATATTTGTTGAGCACCAGCCAAGCATGTAGTATTTACTTTAGCCTAAGTGAGTTATTTAGCCCTGACACAAGCCCTGGAGGGTGAGTCTTTAAGTCCTATTTTTGAGATGGGAAAGCGGAGGCTCACGGAAGGAGGTGATCAGCTCACATCTCCTACTGTCCGTGCCAAGTTAGAATTCCAGCCTGCCTCCTAACTTCAAGTCCAAAGTTCTCCCCACGCCCTAAATCTAGATCTTCAGCGCCCCTTTCTTAGGAGGAACTTCCTCCCACACCGCTGACCACCTCATCTCTATTTCACCCCCAGCCCATCCGGAAAGGCCAGCGGGACCTGTATTCTGGCCTGAATCAGAGAGGCATCTGACCCTCCGGAGGACACTGCCTCCCGCTGGCCCAGGTCTGGCTCCTCTCCAGTTCCCCTTCGACTCCCCGGTTCCTGGGCTAGTCTTGGACCCATGGGAGAATCGTTCCTCAGCCTCATGGTGAACTCGTGCTCTCCAGCCTCATCCCCAGTTCCCTCCTTCCTGCCTTCTCTGCTGGTGCCCAGTCCTAAGCCCTTGCTGCTTCCCCTTCCTTTGAAGCATCATCAGTAGTCACACCCTTACAGCTGGCCTGCTCTCTTGCCAGAATATTTATTTCTGCTATTCACTCCCTTCCCCTTGGATGTAATTTCTCTGTGCAGTTCCTACCTTTCCTTGCATGTAAATTGTCCACCATCCCAAACTATTCCATCTACTTTTGCAACCCCGTCCACTTTTGCATCCCTCTCTGGGGATGGACTGGGTAAATGTTGACAGAGGCCCTGCCCCATTCACAGATCCTAGTCCAGAGCCAGCCCTGAGCTCCTCCCTCCCCCCTTAACCCCCACACCACCCCTCGTCTGCCCCCCACCCTCATCCCCACTGTAGGCCACTGGATGGTGATTTGCATCTCTGTAAATGTGCTTGGCTCCTCTCAGCTGAGAGAGAAAAAAATAAACTGTTTGTCTGAAAGAGTTGCTGTCTCTTTTCTGAGAGGCCCTCAGAGGCTGCCCTAACTCCCAAGACCATTCAGGTTCTCACTACCTTTGACTCTGCTATGACCCCAGATGTGAGCACTCTCTCTGTTCCCACAGCTGGTAGGGCCGTTACTTGAAGCTCTTTTTAGAGAAGGCGAGAAGGCATAGGGAATAAGAGAAAAAAAAGTGAAGGGAGGGGAAGAAAAGAAAAAGAGAGACAGACAACAGGAAAGGGAAAGAAGGGAGGGATGGAGGAAGGGAAGAAAGAGGATGGGAGGGAGAGAGAAAGAAAGTTTGACTAACTTCAGTCGGAGGAAAACATCAAAGGTGGCAGAGAATGACTGATGGGTCCCTGATGGAGCGGTCAGTTCAGAAAATGGGCAAGACAGAAACAGGCCTTGAAAGACAGGTGAAGGTATGGAAGGGGACGGTGGCGGTGGAAGCGGGGCTTAGGGATGGGACACAGATTTCCACAAGCTGCCAGGAAGAGCTGCCAGAGCTGGGGAAGTGAAGGAGAGAGGTGTCTCAAGCGGGCACACCCCCATCCTGAGGCAGCCCCCTGCAGCCAGAGGCTGTGGTTAAGCAGTGCAGGATGTGGGTGCACTGCTGAGCACGGCTCCGGAGAGTGAGGGTGGGAGAGGTACTGCGACACCCGGGGCGGAGGCCAGCATGGGAGCGCTTTGTTCTCAGTCTCCTACTGTACACTCTGCTTGCCAAGAGAGGAGGCCGGAGCATCCAGGGACTGTCCTCATGTAGCTCAAACCTGTGAGCTCTCTTCTCTCCCTCTCCGCACTCAGAAATTTCCCTGCTGACAGCAGGGCTACTTTTGAGTGTGACCACCACTAAAAAGGCCGTTTGTGACCAGCAGCCTCCACGTACTGTTTCCCCTCAGCCTCGGGCTGTGGCTACAGCTTCTATTGGTTTTTGGTCCCTGTTGAAGCGTCACTTCCTTCCCTCAAAGCATCAACACATGGGCTCAGAAAATGTCTCCGTGATGCTGTCCATCACTAGCTGCTGATCAGCAGGCTGGCCCAGGGATGGCAGTTTTGTCACAAGTATACTTGAGTGTGTCCTGTCAAGGGGAGGCATGGCTCAGTGTAGTAAAGGCGATAACAGCTACCATGTATTGAGCATTTACTCAATGTACGCTTCAAACGTTGTACTCAGCACTTTACCTGCATGATCTCATTTAATCCTTATGCTGACACAACAAGGTAGATGTCATCCTCATTTTACAGAAGACGATACTGAGGCTCAGCAAGGTCAAGTGATTGCCCAAGTCACAGATGGTGTGGGGCAGAGCTGGAATTAGCAGCCAGTTCTAAAGCTCAGAGCATCTACTCATTACTGAATGTAATCAGAAAGAATGTTCCCCATTGGCATACACCGGGGCCTGTGGGGGGGGGGCAGGGGAGGGAGAGCATTAGGACAAATACTCAATGCAGCAGGGCTTAAAACCTAGATGATAAGTTGGTAGGTGCAGCAAACCACCATGGCACATGTACACCTACCTACGTAACAAACCTGCACATTCTGCACATGCATCCCGCAATTTCAAGTAAAATTTGAAAATAAAAAATTTTAAAAAGAATGCGCTGGGCGCAGTGGCTCATGCCTGTAATTCCAGCACTTTGGGAGGCTGAGGCGGATCACGAGGTCAGGAGTTCAAGACTAGCCTGGCCAACATAGTGAAATCCTGTCTCTACTAAAAATACAAAAAATTAGCTAGGCATGGTGATGGGTGCCTGTAATCCCAGCCACTCAGGGGGCTGAGGCAAGAGAATCACTTCAGCTCAGGAGGCAGAGGTTGCATGAGCCAAGATCGTGCCAATGAACTCCAGCCCGGGCGACAGAGCAAGACTCCATCTCAAAAAAAAAAGAATGTTCCCCCATTGTCCTGACTTTAAAACTCTGTATTTGCTTATGCATTCCTTCAATGAGCGCTTTTCTAATCACTCACTGTGGCCACCAGCACTGTGCCAAATGCTAAGAGGATACCAATAAACAGTTCTTCTCTTCAAGGAGCTTTCAATTATATAAGAGAGGTCAAGCATACAAAAAGTTAAACAGCAACACAAGAACTCATGTGTGTTACAGTGTTGCAGGTGTTCAGAGGCAGAGAAAGCTCCATGGAGGAAAGACTTGATCTGGGCCTTGAAGGGAAGGATGAACAGAACGTGGAGATAAAGAAGGCACTCTGGAATGCGGAGAGGGGTATGAACAAAGACGTCTGGGCAAGCCAGCTCCTCGCTACAGAAGCAAATTGACTTAAAGAAAGGAGAAGGAAAGTGGCTATTTGGGGACACATTCTGCACTCAGGTCCTTTCTCAAGTTCTAGCCATGCCTTACTCACTCAGTCCTTAATGCAGCATGCAAAGTAGGTATGATTTTATTAGTTTCGCAAAAGAGAAAACTGACTCTCAGCAATACTGGTAACCTCCTTAAGGTCCCACAGCAAGGAAGTGAAGGTTCTGGAACCTAAACCAGATCCTCCGGCACACTCTCCACAAATGCCTGATTCTGCTTTGCTGAAATACAGTGAGATGGCAGGTTCCCAAAGTACATCCTAGGACCTTGTGGTTCCTGGCTGTGCCTGGCTGACGATCTCTGTCCCTTCTTGGCTCCGTTTTCCACTCCCCTAAGAGGGCCACACTTTCAGTGCTCCTCTCAAAAGGCCACCCAATCCCTGCTCCCCTTACTGTGAGCAGCTGAGGGCAACTCCAGCTTCACAGAGAACAGAGGACAGACCCACGGGGCCTGCAGCCAATTCCTTACCTACCCCCTCACCTGCTTCCTCACCTGCCCTTCCTACGCCAAGGATGGGACATTTCTCACTCACCTAAAACCGTGATAGCCTCCCTTCCATCTGCTCCAGGGTCTCATGACCTCCCTCTCCCTCTCCCTCTCTCCACTATTACCCAACTGTCCCCTTTAACTTGATCTTTCCCCTTCACTGCATGCTTACATCTCTGCCATGCTAAGATAAGCTCTCCCTTGACCCTGCATGTCTCCTGCCCAGATACTTCTCTTACTTCTCTCTCTCTCTCTCTCTCTCTCTCTCTCTCTCTCTCTCTCTCTCTCTCTCTCTCTCTCTCTCTCTCTCTTTCTCTCTGCCTTTGCAAGCCCCAAAGAGAAGTCTACACTAGCTAGGCCAACTTCCTCATTTCCCTCCGATCCTCAGCCCTCTACAGTCGGGCTTCCTCCTCCACCTCTCCAGAAACTCACAAATGTCACAGTGCCCTCCTTCTTGCCAAATCCAAGAAGCACTCCATAAGCCTTTCAAGAGCAGAGTTCTTGGAGGTACCTCTTGACTGTTCTGTCCTGTTTCCATGACATCCTCTGCCCCTTCTTACCTCTCTTGAAATTCCTCCTCCACCTGCTCCTTAAACACTGGTGTTCCTTGAGGTTCTGTTCTCATTCTAATACCCTTTACGCTTCACCTGTTTTTCTTACTTTCCCATACCTCTATCCCCAGACCTGACCAGATCAGATATCCTCTTATGCTTTAGACACATATTCTGGATGTATCCATTTGGGAGTCCACAGGCTTCACAGACATTTCAAATTCAAGATGTTCAAAACTGAAGTCACCATTCCTCCCGCCAACCACCCCCAATCCCTCAAACCATCTCCTTCACCTACATGTCCTGCCCCAGTGAACGGTAGCACCACGTACACAGTGCTACTGGATCAGAAACCCCGGAGCTGGCCTGGATGCCTCCTGCACCCTCATTTTCCCCATCCAATTAGTCACCAAATGGCACTCCCTAAATAGCTCTTCAAACTGATTTCTCTCTGTTTCTGCTGCCAGAATTATGTGTGCCATGTCACTTCCTGTTTGAAGCTCTTCAAGGATGCATTACCTCATACAGGAAAAAGCCCACAACCCCTACTTAGCCTTACACTCCAGGTCTTCCACCTTTGGGTCCTTACCACCTCTCCCTTATTTCTAAAACTCTGCAACTTGAACGTCATGCTCTAGTAAAACGAAACCTCTTGAAGTTCTCCCTGCTCTCCACCTCCATGGTGTTTTTCCCTCTCTTTGCTCAGGCTTCCTTCTCTGCCTGGACTGTCCTTTCCTTGCCTCTATTTTTCTTTTTTTTAGTTAAACAGACTTTATTTGAGCAAAGAAAATGTATGAATCGGGCAGCACCTTGAACCAGTAAAGGTTCAGAGTGCTCCACCCAGCAACATGGCCGGCCAAATTTATTGGAAGTAACACACAGAAACAGTTTGATGGGGTACAGCTCAGCATTTGCCTTATGTGGACATGGTTTGATCAGTTCGCAGCCTGTGCCTGGTTAAAGCACAGCTGCTGTGACTTGCTGAGATTCAGCTCTTTGTTACAAGAATATAGTCTCAGCTGGGAGGCAGTTTACTTAAATGCCAAGTTAGGTTGCACTTCAACAGGTATGGCAGCAGCTTTTGGCCAAATTTAATTTAAACATTTCTGCCTTTTAGTCAGCCTCCCAATTTTGAGAGATTGACCAAAACCTTGATCCCTCACCCCATTTTCCATCACAATTATAAAGAACTGGTTTTGTTTCAATATTGAGTTCAAACTTCACCTTAGTTGGATGATTCTTTATGCTTTCTTCAGGTTTTTGTCACTCTAACCCTAATAGACCAGTTGATGTATAAAGAATGGCTGCATAGGAACACTTAAGACTTCCCAGGGGAAGAAACACATCACAGAGACCATTATTATTATTATTTTAAGATGGAGTCTCACTCTGTCACCCAGACTGGAGTGCAGTGGCACAATCTTGGCTCCCTGCAACCTCTACCTCCTGGGTTCAAGCAATTCTCCCGCCTCAGCCTCCTGAGTAGCTGGGGTTACAGGGGTGCACCACCACACCCAGCTAATTTTTGTATTGTTGGTAGAGACAGGGTTTCACCATGTTGGCCAGTCTGGTCTCAAACTCCTGTCCTCAAGTGATCTGCCTGCCTTGGCCTCCCAAAGTGCTGGATTACAGGTGTGAGCCACTACGCCCAGC